ACGCCTGTGCCCCGGGTCAGTGACAGCACATTCTAGAAGCTGGGCCTGCTAGAAGCAAAGGGACTCTGGACCCCACCTCTTGCCCCAAAGGGTCACAGATGGAACAGAGGGATGGAACCAAAGGCGCCCTCTGGCCACTCTTGGGCTCAGACCAGGGTTTGCTTTGGTGTGAGGTCAGCGTCCCTGGGCAGGACCAGTGGGGCCAGGCACTGCCCCTACCTCCCAGGCTGGCCAGCACCAAGGAGTAGGGCGAGGCCACTGCGCGTGCACTGCTGCCAGGACAAGTCAGCGCCCAGGCTGGGCCTAGCGGGATGGGCTAAACCGTGGGGGAGGCGGCCACGCAGAGGCGCCTTCCCCCAGGGCGGCAGGCAGGGGAAGGCGGGGTCTCTCCCAAATGTCCTCGATCCTGGGGTCTGTCGTAGACAGCAGTGCAGGGACAGCACTGGAAAGATGCACAGGCCAGGCCAGGTCGGGCCAGGTCCAGGGCCACACAGCAAACACCAAGGCCTGCCTCCCAGACCTCCAAGTGAAGCCCTGGGTCCCCCACAAGCTCTCCTGGACAGACTTCCAGGCTGCCCACCCTGGGCCCCACTGTGTCACCCCATTCTGCCTCAGACTCCCAAAGGGACAGACACGTGATGTGTTGGAGACCCTCTAAGACTACTCCTCTGAGCCCTGGGGCACCCTCCCGGCCTGCACAGGGTATCCACATGCTCAGCCTCAGTCTGAGGTGGGAGGAAGCGTGGAGAAGTCGCTCCCCAAGCCAATGAGGAGGAAAACGCACCCCCAACTAGGGCCTGGCGCCCGGCAGGGCCTGGTCAGCCCAGGAAGGGAAACAGATTGGCCCCAGAGACAGCGGACAGGTGTGTCCTTTAGACACCACACCCCAACAGGACTTCCAAGAGACTGTGCTGACACGCCCCCCTTGCTCACCACCGTGCGTGTGCAAAGACCAGAACAAAATATCTTGAAATTCCCCACAAATAAGGAGTCTTCAGTGAGTCCACGCTGCACTCCTTGTTTGTTTCACAAATCTTTATTGGGCAGCACCCCCCCAACACCCTGGGTGCCTGTCGAGAGTCCTGGTGTCCAGCCTGGGAGCCGCTGGGTGTGCAGAAGGCAGACACAGAAGCCATGGGAAGACACACCCACCAAGGCCTCGGCCACAGGGACGCACACACAGCAGAGGGGTGTCCTCCGGCTGCATGGGCGAGGGCATGGTCAGGGGCTCTGCTGCCCCTGTGGGCAAGTGGGCCCAGGTGGAGGCCCATGGTAGGAATGGAGGAAAAATGGGAGTCTCCAGGGGAAGGGCAGAGGGAACAGCCCAAGTGGAAGCTCAGAGGCAGGTAAGCCCCAGGAATCCTGGTGCAGGGGAGGGCAGAAGTGGGTGGCCAAGGAGGGCTGCCCTGTCCTCACCAGTGTGTGAGGAGGCAGGGCCAGGCACGGGGCACCCACATGTCATTCTCCAACTCTTCTGGACGTGCGGGCCACACCATCCCCCTGAAGCCTCAGGGGCGGGGCATGGAGGGCCACAGGGCATTCCCAGCCCCATGGGGGGTCTCCAGATGGCCCCTCTGACCATGGATGGGGGTGGCTCCACCAGAAGAGACACGGGCTGCACTTGTGGCTTCCCACAGCTCCACAGGGAAGCAGTGGGAGGGAGGGCACAGCACCTGGGTCCACCAAGCCCTCCCCTTCAAGGACACCACCAGGACTGGGCTCCTGGGAGCAGGCCATCCGAAGGCCAGCCTGACTCGCAGTGCCAGGGCTCTGCCCCTATCCCCTGCCCCCTCCCTCTCTCCAAGTGGCTCCCAGACACCAAATGGACCCAGTTCAACATGTCTTTCCTTTTCTTTCCCCTGTCCGCCCCCTGCTGGAGCTGGGAGAGGGTAGGCAGGAGGGGCAGGTCCGGTGGCAGGAGAAGTCCCAGCAGGGAGCCTGCCAGGCCCACTGAGGCCCCCGTCCCTTGGGTCCCCCTGGGCCCTGGCCTTAGGCCAGGACTCTCTCTCTGGACAGTTGGGAGAAGACAGGACAGTAGGGGAAGCAACAGGAAGGGTGAGCTACAGTGAGTGGGGTGTGGCCCTGGAGAGAAGGGAAGGAGAGTCAGGGGTGGCCGAGGGAAGAGGGCAGAGAGTGAGCTGGGGGGCGGGGTGCTGGAGTGGGAGGCAACAGGCAGCTTCCACGACCCGAAGCCAGTCTTACCTGGACCTTGAGTCTTCATTCTGGCTCCTGCCTAGGAAGCTGTGGAGCCAGAAGGGTCTGGGCTCCCTGTCCAGTGCTCTGGAATCCCCAGGGGTGAGGTTGTAGCCTGTCCAACCAAGGGACACCAGCAGACCCTAGGGCAGTGATAGACCTAGGGACAAGCAGGTGTCCTGGGTACTCCCAGGGCTGGAAGGAGTGTGGTCCACTGCTACAGGTGGGCTGGACCTGCCCTGACCCTGCCTTCCACACATGCACCTGTGCACACATGCACACTCAGGTACGACACACACACACACACACACACA